TTTAAAACACAAGAAACAAATTGAAAATCAAGAAGTAGAAAGACAAACATGTCAATAAGCAAGATCAATAGAAGGAAGAACATGTAGTAGGAAGCAGAACATGACAGGTTGTGATTACCCTTATTAGATTCCCAGCTAACAAACATCCTTAGTGAGGTGCCTGCAGTTATCCTGTGTCAGATTCCTGTGAGTGCAGGTGCCTCCCAGGTGGGGAGGCTGACTTCATTGCTGCTGAGAATATGCTCAGGTACTCCAAGCATGCCCTGGCAGAGGATACACACAGAAATCAAAACACTGATTCATTGCTTACAGCTGTATCAATTGATTATACTCAGCCTCTTCTGTTCCAAGCCACTGTATTACTCCTGGATGGCAGGAAAAAAGGAAACATGCTCACAAATAAATTCCTGAATGAGCTGAACAGAATGAAGGTGAGCACAGGGAAAAGAGGTGAGGAAAAATAGGACCAGCTGATGACTTTCTTGGGTTGGTGATATAAACATTTACATACCTATTACTAAGGGAGAAGATTGATAACCTGAACTGCTTTACATTCCACTACTACATATAAAACACACCAAGAAGTATTCAGTGAGATGCACAGATACAGCTCCAGAGTTCTCTAATTGACCCTCAAATCCAGGTCTGCACATGTATCTTAACCAGTCTGCTGATCACCATTTTCCCAAAGAAACATCAGATTTCAAAAGTGAAGATATTTGGATGAGCTAGAGTTGATGCAGTAGCATTACAAAACTGTTTTAAGATCTAACTGTTACAAAAAAGGCCCTCCCACTTCCAAAGAGAAAATACTTGGGAATTGATAGTAAAAGAAGAAAACCCACAGACAAAGCCAGCCTTATTCTACACCAAACCCTCAAGTGAAAGCAATACTTTTGAAAGTGGTGCTCTGGTTTTTGCTGGGATGGAGATTTGGGTTTTGTGGTTGGGGTTTTTTTTTTTTTTTTTTGCCTTAGTTTGCTTGGGGCTATGTTTTGAATTTGTGCTTAAAACAGCCTTGACAACACACCAATGTTTTATTGTTTATGCAATGTCAGGACCTTTCCTACTTCTCACCCTGCCTTTCCAGCCATGGAATCTGGGGGTGCAGAAGCAGCTGGTTGAAGTAGGAAGTTGGGGATGTGTGGAATGATGGCATTTGTCTTTGCAATTTTTCATTTCACAGCAGGAAAGCATGTGAAGTACAAAGACACAGATTTAACCCAAGGAGGGGAAGGCAAGTATAAGTAGGGACATTTTCCCATTAATTCTAGCAAGAATGAAAGACTTCAGGGAAACAGTAAGAGAAGAACACTAAAAAGAGAGTGCTATTATGAAAGAGAGCAGGAGGGAGAGAATAATTCTTGGACATGCAATAAATAATGCTTGACACCACTTGTCAAAAAAATATTTTAATTTTAACAAAAGCCCAGCATCATCAGTCTCACACATCAGAAATTACAGGGTTACACATAATGCATTCAGGCGTCCTCACAGAAAGTATTGAGTCCATGACAGAGATTCAGTTGAGTTTTCACAACTGTCATACCTTATATTAATTTTTTTTTCAACTTCACATTAAATATCAGTGTTACCTATTCAACAGAAATGGTTTCTATATTTTAAGTTTTTTTAATCCTAAATTAATTTTAAAATAGTAGAACAGTACCAAGTAGCTTCCTTCCCCTTATGAAGAAAGAACTCTTAATAAGTTACATAAAAAATACTTTCACAAATCATCCCAGTATCTGAGAAAAGGAGTGATATAACAACAACATTAAGATATGGGGATCTTACATGACAAATCCCACTGTTCTATATATCAGCCTCCTCTAAGGAGTCTAAATTCTTTAGGTGAACTAGGTAATATTTGCTCACTGTAAAATCAACTTGTTTGTTCATAAATACTTTTTAGTGCTGGTGAACTCAGCGCACAACAGATTGGAGAGGATGTTAAAAAGGTTTGGGGTTTTTTTGTGGTTGGGTATAATTTACTTTAACACAGAATTAATTAGGCACACCTTTCATTAATTTTCATTCTCTACTAATCATGAATCATTTGTGTCAAACTGTATTGCTTCTTTTTCATTTCTTGGTTACTAATCCAAAATTGCTGTCTAAAGCTTCCAGACCCCAAAATCTTCTCAGTTCTGCTGTTGAGGGGAACAATGCTGATGAATTGCCATTTGATCAGATTAACAAAGCTGAGTATTTCAGCATCTCAATCAGAAAACATTTACCCTTCACAACATTCTCACTGAATTTACAAGACACTACTCTTCTTGAGTCAGATGTTTTAGGTACTGCTTCTATTACAGAGTCAGGGCACATAATCAGCTGAGGAGTTACCAAGAACTCATCCTGAGGTATAAGTACAGCTGGCATGAACACAACTGTATTCTACAGCACATTCAATAAAACAGAAAAATGGCTCAAAAAAGTGAGTTTATCAGCGTGCAGAGAAAATTCTTAACAGGATTTGGAAACTCAGCACATCCTTTGCCACTGTAATACAGACAATGCTTTCCATTCCATCAGCTGAGCCATCCTGTAGAACTTCACCATAAAATTCTAAACTGAACTGGTATTAAAAATAAAATATTGCAAAGTGCTCAGAAACATTATTTAACTAAGGCACTTTAGAACTGGACTAATCCTTTAGATTCCAGTAAACACAACATTTCTGAATGCACACTGTCAGACACCTTTCCAAATTCACATCCAGTGAATAAAATTTAGTTATTGCTTATGCACAAAGGTTTTTCATTGTGACATGATTAAAGTTAGTGAGAAGTTAAATCTGCTTCATAAGGGTAACACATGCTCATTAACAATGCAAGGTGTTTGATTTATTATATTAATTCAGCTCTACACTACATAGAAAAAATAAATCTTTCATGAAACAGCCAAAGTCATTCATTTCCATATCAGCATCACCAAGGATCTTCTTCCACCTACAAGGAGTAAGAATAAGAGTGAAATGAATGCATAATTCATGTTGACTGTGCTAAAATATATTTGAAAGTTTTGAAGACTTGGTTTTATGTAGACAATAGAAGACAATTTCTCTATATTTCAAAATCATAAGGACAGATTCAACAGCAATTTTCTTTTGGAAGTATCAGCAATATTGCTGCAATCCCATTAATAAAGCTTCAGAAATGCTGAAGAGTCTTACTACTATTAATTATTAGACCAAAACATCATCTGTCTTGCAATTAATTCAAACAGAGGACAGTGACTGTGCTAATGCTATAGGAGTCACTCCTCCCTGTTAACAACAAGAAGTTTACAGGTGTGAAATATAATGAGAGGTAGCCATGAAAAACTTCAGCACTTACTAAGGCTTGACACTGTAGTACTCTTCTGGTGTCACAATTTTCAATCCACCAAAGTAGTCCAGGACCCAAATATTGGTGATGTTGAATTTGGCAAAAAACCAATTGTGATCCTTGGGCCAACTTTCCATTTCAGGGTGGCGAGTGAATAAAGCTTTTTTGGCTAATTCTGCTTCTGAATCATTCACCTAAACAAAAACCAGGAAAATGTTACAATAAGACAGTCATGTAAAGATGAGTTTTAGCTAAAAAACCTATGCTGACTGCAGTGTGCTTTCTTAGTCCAGCCACATCTTGTCCCAAGGGGCTCATTACTGTGGCTGAGGCTGCTCATCCTCAGTGTGGTGTGCAAGAGTGTGAGACAGGCAACACTTACAAAGTAGTGGATTTCAACATTAAATCAAAATGCTGCTTTTAGAGTTAGCATGAGCAAGAGAGTATTTCATCAACATAAGAATAAATCTTTAAACAAACCACAAACAGAAAAGTATAGATGCTAGGTGAATTATTATAATGTGATGTCTTAGGTGTAATTTCACCTCCTCTGCACCTGCTCATTCAAACTGACAGAAACAGATACAACTCTGCTCAGAAACACACAAACATAAATTGGATGGTATAACAGAATCTACAGAGAAGGGAAGCTAAAAAGTGTGATGGCACTTAATATACAATGTGCAGATATTTGAAGGGTGAAATCAACCATTTAGAGCTCTGGGTATAGAATAAGAAAAACCACCTAAATAAAATCAACTCCATTATTAATGAGAAACTCAGGAAAGCAACTACAAGACTGCTGAGTGCAATGTGAAAATATCAGAGCTGTGAAAACACCAAATAAGAATGAGACTATCAAGTAGGAGAGTAGTGATGACTAGTTCTCATCCTCAGTCATTACCCCAGTAATGGGATTAGTATCTTCAATGAATAACACATGCAGCTCTCATTTCCTCCTAGAAGACACCAAAGTACTGGTGCACAAAAGAACACTGCCTTGGCAGCAATGCCACCAGATCACACAATGCACATTTTTTGTCTATAATACCTCCAACTTTGTAGCTCAGGTTTGTATTTACTTCAACAGAGTTTCAGAAGCAGGCACGTCACACTGCTTGAACCAAAGAATTTAACTAAGCAACAGAGATGTGAATTAAATATGAAGGTTTTTCCAAAATAATGGCCTCAGACTTCATAGTTTCAGGATACATTGACAGGAATGAGGGAGATTTCCTGCATTATTTTCTCCCCAAATTCCTTGCTAAAGGCATGTCAACAGAGCTCCTGCAATAATCAAGGGTTAACTTTTTTTTTCCTCCCACAGACTACGAGCTGGCCTTTGGGTATCACAGCACAGAACACCCCAGCATATGCTTCTGCACAGAATTTCTCACCTTTCTCCTCTCCCTCCACTAAACAAATCTGTATCTGATGCACACAACCTTGCCCAGTGCCAGCTTTCAGCTGCTCACCTTTACAATGCTCCCAACGAAGATGATGTGGGCACAGAGGGGGTTCTGGGGATCATATTTGTGCTTCCTGCAGTATGGAGTCTGTGCCAAAGACACAGTCAAGGAGGCATTTGAATTGACCTGAAATGCAAGAAGCAAGGTAAGAGGTTTATGCTTACTTTTCTTGAGTGAAAAAAATGTCATACCCACCACATTTTCAGCTCTTGGTACTTTATTCAGCTCAATAATACTGGCAGAAAGAGCAGAGCTGTCACCACCTTTTCCTAACTACATCTGAAAGGCTCCTTGGGCAAGCTCTGAATCTGAAATAAAGCCCAGTTCAGAGATGTACTGAAGCTTGTTAACATAAAATGCAAACATCACAGAACAAGACTCCTTAAAACTCTGAATTCAGCCTACCTATTTCACATGCAAGTGATCATATATTACGATTTACAGACACAAAGGACAGTGCAGAAGACAAGGACATACAGTGAATTTCATCAGGTGGAAGGGTAAAGTGTTACTGAGAAGGCAACCAAGTGGGCTTCTCAACTGTTGCTAAAATTACTTAGAACAAAAACAAACATCTCTTCCTAACAGCCTCCGGGCTCTCCCAAACAGCTCTTTTGGAATTTAAAGTGAACTTTAGAAGTTCGGTTTAAAAAGAAAATTCAGAGTATTTAAGTGAAACACCTAACTTGAAGAATTAAAGAACCTATATCTGATTGTTTTTCTAAAAACTAATTTGGTGACCATGGCCTGAAAAGCACTGGTGCCAAACAGGATTGCAGAATGCGATCTACTAAGGGTCATTATCTCCCAGCAAGGGAAGTTCCCCTGCTTTGAGACGTTTCATTAGAAGAGCTCATGTCCAAGAGAAACCCTGCACAGTCACTTGAAAACTGCGGAGAGCACAGGAGACCTCGTGAAACAGAAGCAGCCACTTGAGAGATAGGAAGTTGCTTAACTCCCAAAAAGCTGACTCATGATTACTCGGCACCTTCTCCCTCGCCTGTGACTATCACGTGTCGAGAGTTTCTGTACTGAAGCAGCAAAATAAGGACCTGTTGAAGAGCCTCCTGAAGGAAATATTGATTACTAGTTTATACTGGTGGGTTTTATGTTATTCTGAAAGAGAACAGCTGTATTTGGGATGGAAAGAAAGGTATAACACAAAACAAATTAGACTCTCTACAGCACTCAGACATATAATTCAACTATTTTAAGGTAACAAACTAAAACCTGACATGGAACAAACAAAAAATCATAAAACAATCTGAAAAATTACCATTATTTTGTGTTTATTAATATTGTAAGTTACTAAAACAAACAAACAAATCCAATAAAGGAGGCATGACTGCTATTTCATTAAGTTTTTAGCAAACTCTTGGCCATAAAAGCTCTGGGACAAGGCCAATTACACACTCAGAGTCTCAGCATGCCAAAGCTGCCTTTCCATGTGTGCTTCCCTTTACGGTAAGCTCCAGAGATTTAATAACTATTCCTTCAGGAGGCTCTGTAAAAATTCTCTTTGCTTAGGTCCCACACTGACAAGTTTCACTCCTTTTGACTTTGTTGTGTGTGAAATTTCCTCTGTTCAAATATTCTGTGGCGCGTCATTTCTTTGCTCAGTGCTTCTGGAAGCTGCAGACACTTGCTCTGCCTGGCGCTGCCCTTTCTTTCTCAAGACCACGATCAGCAGGAACTTCTCAGGAGCCCTCCTGGCTGTAGCCACAGACAGCACTGCTCAAGGGCTAATAATTGTCCCCAGGGCTGACAAACGGGGTGACATCCTTGGAAGAGCCATAAACTAAAACACAGATGAGGAACAATTTTACGCAGAGGGTGCCAGGGCTCTGGAACAGCTGCCCACGGAGGCGGCGGAGTCTCCCTCTCTGGAGGGTCCTACCTGGACACGTTCCCGTGTCACCTGCCCGAGGTGACCCTGAAGGACCTCCAGAGGTCCCTCCCAGCCCCAGCAATCCGCGGCTCCGTGAACCAGCGCTGTCACACTGCCTTGCAATCACCACCTGCTGCTGAGCGCCGGCCTGAGTGACCCGGCTGCTTCTCCGAGCGTCCTCCGTGGGGTCACTCCGCACCCGCGGTGTCACCGCCCCTCCAGGCCCCGCTCACCTCCAGGTCCTGCACGGAGATCTCCATGTCGGTCAAGTACAGGTAGGGCACGCCGCTGCCGCCGCAGGGCCCGGGCGGGCCGTCGCTGAGGGAGAAGATGTTGGCGAAGGGGCGGCCGCGCAGCCCCTCCTGCGTCGACAGCGTGGCCAGCGCGCCCCAGTCGCAGCTGTGCAGGACGTAGCGCGCCATACGCGCCGCCTCCTCGGGCGGCGGGATGGCCGCCACGGCCGCCAGCAGCAGCCCCGATGCGGCGCACAGGAGGAGCAGCAGCCGCGCCATCGCTGAGGACACGGACAGCACTCCCCGCACAGCCGCGCACCGGGACATCACAGCCCGCACGACGCCGGCCACCGAGTGCCGGGCCCGCCCGTACCGCCCGCCCACCCGCCGCGAGGGGCGGAACTTCGCCCTGTCTCACCAATGGCAGCAGCGCTGCCCGCCCCCTCGAGCCAATGAGCGACAACTTCGGGAATGAAGAGCCCCCACCCCCGCTATCAGCCAATAGACTTACGAGGTCGGCGGTCCTCAGCCAATGAGAGCCACTGGAGGCGGGTCAATGCGCGCCGACGAGGTAAACAACCGGGAGCGCGCGGTCCGGGAGGGGGTGGAGTCACCGGCGGCCCGGCAGCCAATGGGAGCCCTGCTGTGCGTCACCGAATGGGTGGAAAACACCCCAAAATCGCCGAGTCCGAGCTGGGACCCAACCCCGCTGAGTGGCCCGGAGCACGGCACCGAGCGACACAGCCAGCCCTTCCCCGAACACCTCCGGAGCGGTGACTCCAACACCTCCCCGGGCAGCCCATCCCAATATCTAATCACCTTTTGTGTGAAGAAATTCCTCTGAATGTGCAGCCTGAACTTCCCCGGCACAGCTTGAGGCAGAGACCGAACCCCCCCTGGCCGCACCATCCTTTCGGGTGTCTGTAGAGCAGTGAGGTCCCCCCTGAGCCTCCCTCTCTCCAGACTCAACATCCCCAGCTCCCTCAGCGCCTTCTCACAACACTTGCGCTCCAGACCCTTCCCCTGACTCGCTCCAGCCCCTCAAGGCCTTTTCCGAAGTGAGAGGCCCAGAACTGGACACAGCGTTCGAGGTGTGGCTGAGCACTGCTACGCTACTCCTGCTCCAGGCCAGGGTGCCACTGTTGGCCTGCTCGGACCTCACCGCGCTGGCCCCGTCCCACAGAATTCCCTCACAATCCCGTTTCCCTGGAGCACCAGCGCGGGAAGAAGGGAAGGTGATGGCAGCGCTCCCGCTGGCCTGAGGGGGGCGCTGGCGGGACGCGGCTCCCGGAGATGTCCCTGCTGTGTCCCAGGATGTCACGGAGATGTCCCGGACATGTCCCTGCTGTGTCCCAGGGATGTCACGGAGATGTCCCCGCGGATGTCACGGAGATGCCCCGGCGGCTCCCGCCCGTGCCGAGCCAGTCCTCCCGCTCCGACACCCCCCGTTCTGCGGGGTCAGAGTGACGCGGAACAGGCCATGGCGCGGTGCCCGGCCCCTGCTTTGTGTGCCTGGGGAAGTCTGTCACATCCTGGAAGTGTCCCAAACCCGCGTGGATATGGCGCATGAGGACACGCTTTACTGGTGAGCACGGGCTGCTGGGTTAACAGGTGGACTCGGGGATCCTGAAGTTCTTTCCCAACCATAATGATTCTGTCATTCTACAATCCTTCAGCCCCACTATCCCTGCCCACTGCTAAATCAGCCTCAAAGGCTGGTTCTATGCCACCACAGGTGTTTGAAGCCCAGCCTTCCCTTGGGAAAACCCTATAATTTAATCAGAGCAGCAGGGACTATCTGTTTTGGGCCACAAAGCCCACAGAATGATTTGCCACTGGGCAGAACTCAGGTTTTACCTCTTGCACGTGTCAGAGCCCTTGCTCTGCAAGGCTTGGTTTTGTCAGTTGAACACCATTCCACCTTCCACTGAAGGCTCTTCCAAGCATTACTTACCCAAATAAACACTTAGCTTGTTTTATCCGTCACTTTGTGCTCAGTAACCTTATAAAGATTTGTATAAAGAGATGCTTTAAACTGGGGTAACACTGAGACTTGATTCAAGTGGTCCTAAAAGATGGTGGGTTTTCATATTTCCACCTGGATCCAAGTATGTCCACCCTATGTAAACAGCAATGTAGCACTGAGAAAGCCAAATTAACTTGCCCTGTGAGCACCATCTGCCCCAGGTGCCCCACAGCACCCACAGCTTATAGCAGCCCAGATGGATCATCCTGTTGGGCTGAACTCAGCAAGAAAAATACACCACCCATCCATTCTCTATTATTTATCTGCTGTCCTGTACAAGCAGAACAAAATAATTTTTCCTCCTTGCCTGCAGAGCATGGTTAGAAATCCCTGCCTCCTCTCTGGACACATGGAGGCTTCTGCTGCTGCCTTCTCCTAGAGATGCTCAGGAAAAACTGAAATTTTCATAGGGAACAAAAAAAGGAAAAGAAAAGGATGCTCTAAACCCCTGATGTGCAGGCACTAGGCTCTCTCACTTCCTCAGTTAGATCTCAGAGAAAGGAGAAGGATTCTCTCTCTGTTGTGCTGCAATATTGTCTAGGGGCTCTCAGCATCCTTGCATAACAGGGTCAAGAAAGTATTGGTAGGCACCACTAGTTCTCCTTTCCAAATCATGTGCTTCACTGCATTTAAAAGCCAGTAAATAGACAGTAATATCTCACCATAAATGGAGATACTTCCTCCAAGGTCGAGTTCATGGAATGATCTTAATTTCAGTGTATTTTATATGTGATGGGCTTCAGGCTGTGTCCCTGGGGGAGATGTATTTTAGTCAGAAAGTGGGCAAGGTTTCCATCCTGGCTTGTGTCATGTTTTGTCTGCCCTCTTCAGAGCTGCTTTTCCTGAGCCAGCTCTCTCTGCAGCCAGCCCGGTTGCTGCATGGGCTGGGCACGGTTCCTCCTCAGACACAGCCTAGCTGTGCTCTGGTCCAGGCTTCCTGTCTAGGTCAGGCAGTCTGTCCGTGCACAGAAGCCTTTATGTGTCCAGATAACACCCGGGGGCTGTGCAGTCTCGCTGTGTGCAGCGCTTGGTTCCCGAGCCAGGCCGGCTCTCCCATCCAAATGCCAGCCAGGGTGATCCAAGCCACTTGCCGGGGTGATTAAAGTCACTTGCCGCTGCCTGTGACAGAGGAGACTGACCTGTGAGTCAGCTCTGGCTAAAGCTGAAGTGCTCAGTGCTTTGAAGTGCCAATGCCTGGTGCCACATGAGACCCACCATGCAAATTGTTTCTAAAAATGTTGGTTAGATTCTCTCCTGAGGAGGTATCAGCCCTGCTGCTGCTACAAGCGGCACACGGCACAGGCAAATAAGACATTTATTTGTTCTCACCCTCAAACTGCCTGAATTACCTTGGTTGGGAATTTAGCTTGTGACTCTTCCCTTGGTGTATTTTTTAGAAGATAGGTAAAGTTATTACAGCGCTGGCCTGGTGTTCAGCCAAAAGTCCTTTCACTTTTTTGACAGCCACCACACAGGCAGTGGCAAGGCAAGCTTCCTCAGTGCACAACCTGTTAGGGACAGAAATATTGTTCCATTTTCAGTCAGAAAATCCTGTTCAGTCAGAGCTTGGGCTGCATGCTGAGGAAGCTGCTGGCGAGGGCCACTGCTTGTGGTGCTGCTTTCTGGGACACTGAGAGATGGGCAGTAGGACTGGCCTGAGAAGAGTGTCATCAAAACCAGCACATATACCCAGAATTGTGTCAGCAGCCATGTTCTGGCTGGTTTTGTTGGTTTATATTGAGCCTGGTGTATTAAAACTAGTAACCGTAGAGGAATTGCTCAGTCTGGAAGCAAGCTGTCAGTGGCTCATGCTGATAATATTTGTCCCACCACTATATGAGTACAATGGGATGCAGCCATGCCTCTTAACACCCCAGCTCAGTTTGTTCTCTGAAGTCAAGCAGATCAGGAGAAAGAAGAGCTCTCCAAAAACATTCAGGTGCTGCAAGAGAGGACACCAGTTATCTGAACACCACCCACCAGCCCCTGGTGGGCCCAGGGTGATCCACCTTGCTGTGATCTCATTATTGCAAGGTGAAGTGCTCCTTGTGCCATACAGCATTTTTTAACTTTTCTCTGCTTAGGGACAGGCTTTTGCCCAGATCCTGGCAATTAGGAGGCCCTAATTAAGAAGCCTGGTTAATCTGAACCACGATGTTAGCACTTGGGCACCAGCTGACAGTCAGGAACATGTCAAATTTTTCAGTTTTTCAGTCAGTCTCTACCGCCTACTTTTTTAGGTGGCCAGCACGAAAAAGACACAAACTCACATTCCAATTCAGCTTAGTGAGAGCCACTTTATAACCACATCCTTTGATTTAACTCCCTTTGGTAACGGGACTTTCCCGCTGACATCAGTTCCCACAGGGTGCAGAGAGCCTGGCACACGTGTGTGTGTGTGTGTCCGTGTGTCTGTGTGTCCGTTGGCACGTGTGTGTTTGTGTGTCTGTGCTCTCAGAAGGGCTTTGCTGCAGCTGCAGGACCCGAGCACAAAAATGTCAATGGTACTGAGCGTTCCAGCTGAGTTCATTTCCTGCTGATAAGTCCCCGAAGAAGAGGGCGAGGCTCAGCGTCCTCGGCGTTGCTTTAGCGCTGAGGGCCACAGGCAGGCAGCTCGGGGCACACTCAGCAAAGGGCGGGTTCAAACAGCGAATTTCCCATAGAAAAAACGCTGCTCACGTTCGCTTCCTGTCGGGCTGCCAAGTGATAGACCTGATGTGTAAAGGCAACCCAAAATAGGATGT